AAAAATTAAGTCTTGAATAATATTAATAAAACTAAACTATTCCAAACAGGGGCTGCTAAAATCTCAGGGCTGGGATGAGTGGAGATGTTACTGGTACCCACTCAAGTAAATCGATGAATGGGATGAAAGTGATACAGTGACTCCAAGGATATTTTATATGAATTTTTATTTAAATTAGGATTAAAAACTAGTATGGACAAGAGACAGTTATAAAACCTCAAATTTTAAAAAGTTGGCAAGTTAATAGAAAGGAAGGAAAGCAGGCATGCAGGAAGTAAGCTCACACTCTTTGTTTTGTCTTGGTGTCTCTACAGCAGGTCCTCGGGGGACTTTTCTCTGTAACTGAACCCGCGGTTCAATGCAAGGGTCCAAGACTGCAGTGTTTCTCAGACCCTGCAATGCTGGGGATGCCAAATTACCCCTCAGTGCTGGGGTCTCAGAGCTGCACTGTGCAGTGTTGGGGGAACACAGGGAGACAGAGATTAAACCTGGAAAAAGTTAATTCATAAAAATAAAAATAACACTTGTGAAACAGTGTGTCAAGAAATTTGAATCAAGAACATATATAAGCAATTTCTACAGGTATGAAAACACAATGAGCCCATCTAAAAAGTGATTTGAATAAACACTTTTCCAAAGAAGATATGCAAATAGCCAAAGAACACATGAAATGATACATAACATCTTTTGCCTACAGGAAAACGCAAATCAAGGCCATATTGAAGACAGTTGGTTAAAAGAAAACTATAAACAACAATAATCATCAATTGCTAGTGGGGGAAATGAAAAATGGGGTGTTTCCAAAAAGCAATTAAATGGTTCCGTGCCATGCTAAAAAGAAACGGGTTACCAGAGAACCCTAGAAATCTCACCCAAAGATAAGAAAAACATACGCTAAAAAACTTACATAAAGGTGTAGGAAGCATTACTACAATAGTTAAAAAGTGAACAATCTAAACATTTACCAACTTAATGGATAAACACAGGATAGTTCCTACGAAAAACTATTATTCAGTCATAAAAAGAAACACTGAAAAGTCCTACAATATGGAAGAAACAGAATAGCTCAATAAGTGAAAGTCACAAAAAAAAAAACCGCTGTATGACCATTTATGCTGATTATGAACATTAGCATACATAATTAAATAGAGAAATGCAAAAAATAGGTTGGTGTTGTCAGTCTCTAGGGCAAGAAGAATCTTCTAGAAAGTGAGGGCCTATTAGTGGGAACAAAGTTATTCTAGAAGATGAAAAAAACCAAAAGCTTTCTACAAAGAGATGGTGAAGAAAGTCGCATAACTCTGAATATAGAAAGGAAGAGAGGGAGAGAGGGAGGGAGGAAGGGAGGGAGGGAGAAAGGGAGGGACGGAGGGAGGGAGGGAGGGAAGAGAGAGAAATTAAAGAAAGAGAGAAAGAGAGGAAGGGAGGGAGGGAAAGAAAGAAAGAAAGAAAGAAAGAAAGAAAGAAAGAAAGAAAGAAAGAGAGAGAGAAAAAGAGAGAGAGAGAAAGAAAGAAACCTTTTTTTTTCTTTTTTTGCTTTGTGGGTCACACTCGGCGACGTTCAAAGGTTACTCCTGGCTGTGCACTCAAGAATTGCTCCTGGCATTGCTCAGGGAAACCATTACGAATGCCAGTGATTGAACCCAGGTCGGCTGCATACAAGGCAAATGCCCTCCCTGCCATACAATCTCTTCAGTCCCCATGAATCCACACTTTTAAAAGGTGAATTTAAAAAGACTGTAAGGATGTAAGGAAAAAATTATGGTGAGCAAAAGAAGCCACATTCAACAGAGTTCAGTTCATAGAAACAAGTGACAAAATATACACACCCAATCAACAGTGATGGAAATCAGAGCAGTTGGTCACAGAGGGAGTGTTAGGGATGGGGAGAATTCTCTGAGGTGATGAAAGTCTTAGTAAAGTGCGTTCATTCATTTGTCAAAACTTGAACTCTGCAGTTTAGATTTATAGGTTGCACTGCATGTAAATTATGTAAATACAAGCTAAACATAAAGAAAACCTCCATAACAACTGAGACTTATGAAAGGAATACTCTTGGCTTAGAGTCTTGTTAAGAAAATGTGATATTGAGCTGGGGTTCTTCAAGGAACCCCCCCCCCCCCAATGGTAATGACTTGTTCGGATGACTTACAGGACTTGGCATATAGTCACACTTCAGGCTATGGTGAGTACAGTAAAGGAAATGAGGCAAAAAAGAGCCACGGGAATGGAAACACAGAGTCCTGACATGGAACCCAGCACTGACTGGTGACTCAATGCCCAGGGCTTGGATTAGGAGTCAGGTCCTTTACCTTCTGCCTAGAACATAACAAGTGTAGGGTAACATTGTCACAGGGAGCTTAGGTTTATCTGGTTATACCCATCACAGTGCTCAGAGTCTCTCCCATTCCATCTGTATTTATCTGTAAACTCTTTTCTGTGCTCTCCTCCCCAATCGGCTAATCACCTTTTCTCCCTAATCAGATACTGTTAGCTTGTAAAATCAGATCCTTCTAAGACACTGAACTTGTATTGTAAATTATGTCTTTTGCATAGTTTACCTTAAAGCAATGTCCTTTCTGTAGGGACACAGGAAGACAGTTAATATTATGCTTTGTAACTTGGGAGTTGATTGACTCCGAATAATATTTACTCCTGGGCATCTGCTTTCTTGACTCAGTTGCCCTTAGTTCCTAGCACCCCAAAAGCAGGGTCCTGACAAGGGACTGAAAGGACCCAGGGCAAGCTGTGAGCTACCCTGGCATCAAAATGGGCCAGGACAAAGCGCCACAACACTCAACTATAAGTTGAGGGCATGATCATGGACAAATGCTGTCACGATCCAAAAGTAACGATGAGACTAGGACCCTGCTGGGGCTAGGAAGACTAATCTGGCCTGAGGACTAAGGAATATATAGTGAGATGTCCTCAGGAAGAACCAAACTGTAAGTTTATATCTCTTACTGTGCTCATACAGAATGACATTGCTAGAAATATTGGAAGTAGACTTACTACAACTATTTAAGTAGATTACTATCTGAGGAAAGAACACACCCTTGTTGGGATCCCCTTGAGCAGATCTCCTAGTAATCTGGAATAATCTCTTTAGATGAGATTTTATCCTTGAGTTAATCTCCTTGAGGAGGAGGAGGAGGGAGGAGTGGGATTACCTCTCTTTGCTGATTTGTTAATGCTCAAACCACCTTACATGATTGCTATATGAACTAAGACTGTAAACTCGGAGGGGGCGGGAGGCTGAGGAGGAGGCTGAGGCTCAGACTCAGTCTTGGGCTCCAGAGGGCAGAATCAGAGGTGAGAGGGGGTCAGGCTTGAGAATGAGAAGCAGAAGGGGAGTGAAGATTGGAATAAACCGACCAGCGTGGCCCTCATTTGTTCCTTCACCTGCCCATCGCCATCAACCTCCCCGGGGTGGGGGAAGCGGCCCGAGACCACGAACGCGGGTGGCAGGAGAGACTGAGCGCCACCGGACCTCTTGAAAACACACAAACAGGGTTCTAGATTCCCAGGAGGAAGTAATTATTTAGGGTAAAGTGTGCTGTCTTTCTGAACCATTTGGAAAGGGAGTTCCTCTAACATTTAGGGAACACTCCCTCTGTGACCAACTGCTCTGACTTCCATCACTGTTGATTGGGTGTGCATAGTTTATCACTTGTTTCTATGAACTTAACTCTGTTGGATGTGGCTTCTTTTGCTCACCGTAATTTTTTCTTTACATCCTTACAGTCTTCTTAAATTCACCTTTTAAAAGTGTGGATTCATGGGGACTGAATGCAAGTGACTTAGCAAGATTTAACAAACGAGATCTTTCTAAGGACAGCAGCCTCAGACCTGCCACGTTATCTGATTTCTGCATGAGTAGAACAGCTGTGCCTCACCCTAAAAATAACATGGACAAGGCCCTTAAGAGCAGGTGTGCTAAAATGTCAGTCACTGTTACTGGGCACTCTTCAAGAGTCTTTTCTTTGTTCAAAATCATTCCAAAACAAAAGAATTAATGGGTGTGAGGATTTTAAACAAAAAAAAAATTCCTTAAATGATATCTAGAAAAAATATCAATAAATATAACTATACTTACCAAACAGAAAATTATATAGTACTGAGAGACAAGAAATGTTTGAGAAGAATCACACGCATGTTACAGGCTACAAGCATAAACATAACAAAGGCTCCAGTGAGTCAGTCCCGAGTCTGTAAGATCAGTATGCTTCTGATTTTATCAGCACAGCATTGGCCCAGCAGCCTGATAAAGGATCCTCATAGCCCAAGGAGGATCCAGCCATACAGTGGCTGAGGCAGTCCCTGCCCTCCACGCAACCCTCCTCACAACTATTTCACCAAACTGACCCCGCCTGCAGTCCTGATTCCCTTCCCCATCTCTGGCCTCAGTAGCTGCCTCAGAGAAAAGAGTGTCTGAGTCAAGTAGGGCAATGGGGGGAAGGTACAAAGCACAATTCCTCTGGCTGCTGTCAGACTGATCAAAGACACTCCGAGGTGGCCAGGGCCATCTTATTAATTATGTGAGGGAAAGACAAGAATCCATGGAAAATGAAAAAGGAGCCAGTGCCCGGACAACAGACTCCAAGTCCTCTGGTTCCAAAAGAATCTGAAGCGACCTTATCCTAGGATTTACCAAAGGAAATTCTAAGACCTTTCTTTCCATCTTACTTTATCTTTGCTTGCTTTTATTTTCTTAAGTGAAAAAATCTCCCTGATAGCAACCAAGAATCTTAACATAATATGAAATTCCCAGAGTAATTTTTTTATAAAAAGTATTTTAAAACATAAAATTTTAAAAAATTAACAAGAGAGAGAAAAAAAAAGTAAAGGTGGCCATATTAGATCTATATAGCTGAGTTCAACAAACAAAATCATAAATTAATGGCTGATAAATTATTCAACAACTATCAGTATTGGAAAAATAATTCAAAAATCAATTGTACAAAATAGCTCAAATGAAGGGGAAAGATATTGATACATACCAAGATTTTTTTCCAGCCACTGATGTCCTTCAATAAGCTGATCAATTATGGCAAAATAATGTGCAGTGGCTTCATCAGACATAACCCAGCCACCTGTCACAATTTCCAACTGGCCATTTGCTAGTAAACTAGGAAAGAAGCAATGAGTTTACATTAACATACATATAAAAACTTCGGATAAACTAAACAGTTAACAGAACACTAGACAACCCTTAAATATAACGCATTTTATTATACACTTAAAAAAAACACACTTTTATTTTCATTTGGAGCCATCCCAGATAGTACTTGGGCGGGGGGTGCCCCCAGGCTCTGATGCTCAGGAGTGTCCCCCACCCCCCTCCCACCCGCAGCAGATGTTGAAGGTGACCTTCAGACACTCAAACTGAATTTTTCATATCACACGGGTATAATACTCTACACAACCTCAGTGATTCTTAATATTAACAGTCAGGTCTGATTTTAATTTTTCTGAGTCTTACATGGCCAGCTTCTGTGTAGGGTTGTGTAACTAAACGTGGCAGTCACAAAAACTTTGGCAACATTAGATGTTTCTAACACAGAATGAAAAATACTTTCAAAATCAAATGTATAATGAACGAAAGATGCTAGGGTTGTACTTCTCGGGCGCAAAGGAGTCCAGCAGAAACCCTTCAGGAGCCCTGTCACAACACACACCTAACATGCCTGCTAAGTGTCTGCTATTAAGGCAGTCATTTTAAGTATATTTTTAAACATATCTATAATTTAAAAAAAATAATTTATTTCAGTTCTGAGACTGCTAAGTTAATCACGCAACTATACAACAGTAATAATAACAAACCTAGAGTCTGTATACATCACAGGCCTCTGAGATTACAGAGTGCATTATAAAGCACCATTCCAGACCCAGTCAAAATGTAAGTTATCTAGTTTCTCTCTCATTATTGCATGAAAAGCTTTAGCATGAATATTATCTGTCCACTGAGTTCACCTTTACCAAAATACCATGACGGATAACCACGTGACCAGCTCTGGGTAAACTAAAGACCAACAAGAAGCTTCCCTGGAAGGGGAGGTTATGACACCGATGGGTGGAACGGATCACTCAGGATGGGAGATGTGTGTGGACAGGGGGCAAAGGACCAAACAGGGTGGCCTCCAGGATCTGTATTGCAAACCATAATGCCCAAAAGAAGGGAGGGAGGAGGAGGAAGAGGGGAGGGAGGGAGGGAGGGAGGGAGGCTGGGGGGCAGGAGGGTTACCGGATCTTTGGAGGGAAACATGCACTGGTGAAGGGACAGATGTTGGAACACTCCAAGACTAAAACCCAAGCATGAACAACTTTGTAACTGTGTATCTCACCATGTCTCAATTTCAAAGACAAAGTTTCTCTGGAGTCATGAATTAGACCCACCCCTAGACCTCATGACCATCTCTTTGGAAGTTCAGGTGTCAGGAGGGATTTGGGATTCAACCCCCGAACATCCAATAGAGAAATCTGGCCTCTGCCTCTTAGTATCATAATAAAGTAATCTTCGGGGAAATTTTAGAAATAAAGTTGTCAAAATAAAATCTTTGCTCTTCTTGAGCAGAGAAAAGCAAACCAATTACAAATTCTGAAGCATAGATAGAAGAGAAAAAAAAATCCACCCCAATGATAGAATTTCTTCCTTTTTCAGTTCTGTTAATATAAATGCTGTTCCACTGGCATAAATGAGCTCTAAAAAATGTCAACTAAACAAACAAACAAAAAAAATTCAATTATCTTTTCCCTCTCCCCTGGGTGGCTGAAATGCTACTGTGACGTGTTTCTGAGATTTTATCCATACCCATAGTTAAAGACTATCCTGACTACTAATTTGGAGGAATGCACGAGAGTCTCTTATTCATTACAATGTTCTTCAAACTTTCTTACCTGCTTATTTTCATTGGATCCCAGATTCCCTCACATCTCATGTCCTCCAAGTCTCCCTGAGCTTCTGGCGTAAATCACCCACTGCACTACCACACTAACCTCCAACAGCACTTTCCAGCAGCAGAATTACTATGTTGGCTTAGACGTGCCCTCTCTCCTGCCCGACAACCAGCCACATGAGCATGAAGCCTCACAGCCCCACCTTGTGCTGACTCTGCTGCAGCAGCACTGAGAGAGAGAGGACCCTCAGATAAGAAGAAAAGAGTGGGGAAGGAGTGGACGTGGCTGTCCATTTCAAAGGAGCACTAACACCGATTCTAGGGGCTGGAGCAATAGCACAATCAGGAGGGCGTTTGCTTTGCACACAGCCAATGCCGGTTCGATTCCTCCATTCCTCTCAGAGAGCCCTGGCAAGCTACCGAGAGTATCCCACCCACATGGCAGAGCCTGGCAAGCTACCCGTGGCATACTCGATATGCCAAAAACAGTAACAAGTCTCACAATGGAGACGTTATTGGTGCCTGCTTGAGCAAATCGATGAACAATGGGAGGACAATGCTACAGTGCATGCAGCTCACAGACATATGCAAAGGGTCAGTTATAAAGAGTTCTGAATAATCCAGGAGAGGAGCAAGACATTTCATGAAACACCATCAGAAGATTTAGGAAATGGTTAGACACAGAAGCAAGATGTATTCACCTGTGACTGGGAATATGAATTTCAGGCACGGTGTCACCAATGCACAGCCAACTCAGATGAATGGAAAAGGCAGATTATTTTGCAATGATGGGTATGTATTGTTCTTTTTGTTGTATTTGAAGTAGAGCATGTTGACATTAATGTATATAATACACAAAGTTACTGCACCCACCAAGTTACTGCACCTACCACCCCAAAATGCCATAGGCCCTCCATCACTGTTCTTATGTCACATGAGTCAGTCTCTTTCTTTCCCACTCCTCACCCACTGATTCTCCCCTACTTGGTAGCCTGAGTTCTAGTCAGGTCCACAGGTTTGTTATCATTGGATAGTGTCCACTCACTGGCTCTGGCTCTGTCAATATCCGGTGAAAGATCATCTGGAAATCTGTCCTTCTCCCTCGGGCTTAAGTAGTAAGAACTTGGACAGGGCTCTTTGACATGACGGTGAGGCATCCAGAAGGAACAAGGAAGGAAAGTTTAGAAGGACAAGCCAATTAAAAAATAAAACAAAACAAACAAAAACCCAGCTCACTTTTAGGGGACTAAAACCAAGAAGAAATGGGGAAAGGAGGAGAAGTATGAGGAAAACAATGAAGTCTCAAGCAGCAGGAAAACAGAGGAGGAGCAAAATGAAGGGGGAGAAATGCTGAGGTAAAGATGGAAAGAACAAATCTGTGATTACAGCATGAAACATTCTGTAACAAGAAGCAATCTGCACTTTCTCTTGGAGAAAAAAAGTCGATTTTATAATCGACTCTATCATAAGTGACTTTCCCCACAAACAGACATATTGGTGGGTCAGAGTATGAAATTAAGAAAGAATTTTTTAATGTGGGATGTTATTGAAATAGCTAACAAATTAGCAGAAAAGAAATTGCCTCGTTTGTTTTTGTTGCTTGAAGCTTCAAGCAGAGTGATTTAAAACAAGCTCCTAAGGAGGCCAAATAATCTCATGGAAAACAAAGAACGATAGAAACAGCAGGTTCATGGAGCTTTCCAGAAGAATGACAGGAGTCCATCACCACAGGCATTAGTGACGTCATATGATGAATGAGAGAACAGGAGGCACAGGTCCTCTTAGCATGGTTTTCCCACCCAGCAGAGTGAACATGTGACTGAGGAAGATTCAGACTGAGCAGTGAGACTCAGCGGGCCTGGCCTGGTCAGTGGGAACGGCTCAGTGAACTGTTCGCTTCCTCCGAATGTGACAGGCAAATCAGCAACTGGACAGGAAGCTTTGGCCTGATGCCATTTGTAAGCTAAAGGGCCAGGGCAATGGCATGGGGGTGACAGCATTAACCACCTGCAGGCTGCTGCTCAGGATGGCTCTCGCTCAATCCCCTGCACCACGTGGCTCCTGAGCACTGAACATAGAGCCAGCTGTGACCCTCAAACCCCCAAACAAAAATATGAAAGTCATTTTTTATACATATTTACCACTAAATAATAAGCCGCCTAAGGAAATTCACAAAAATGTCAGTGTGGTCAAATATCTTTAGAAAAAGACAGAAACTGATTTTCACCCTGCCACTGAAGAACACCCTCCCCCTGATGCCCCATCCCCAATCCCATCACAGAAGTCAGAAAATACACAACCACACGAATTCACCACATGTATCACACATTCTAAAACACAAGCAAGACACACTGAAGTAGTTTCTGATGAACGAGAAAGAAAAAGGGTTAAAAAAAAAAGACTGCAAAACTGTGATGATATATTGAGAAGCACTAAAAAATGTAGGGAAATGATTATAAAAGGCACCTCAAGAATTCTTAGAAAAAGTTACATATAACTATAAAAAGGAATTTTTTTCATGAACCACAGAGAAGCTATTTATCCTGCAGAAAAGTATCTTGGGGGCTAAAGAAATAGTAAAGTGGGCAAGGCATTTGCTTGGCACGGAGCTAACCTGGACTTAATCCCTGACATCTCATATGGTCCCCCATAATGACTAGGAATAAACCCTAGCACAGCTGAGTGTGACCAAAAGGTACAAAATGAACAAAAATATAAAGAATCATATTTTAAATCCCCATTATTAGAAATATGATAAAAATTTAATTATGACCAATTATAGTTTTATATCTGAAACTCAAAAATTTTTATGAGGCAAAAAGTAAGCGATACCTAAAACTAAGAGAACAAAAAATCTGTCTACTTCCAATTTAGGAAACGTAGAATACAGGAGTGCCCAAGAATTTCCAATTACTCAGTGTTCCACAAGCAACAACTGAGTGATTTCTCTGTCAGAGGAGAAAACAAAATCCTAGATGAACTCCCCAATATGCCAATTTTTCCCAAAACATTGGCTCTGGCAAACTTTGGGCACACACACTTTTTCTATTTCCAAGGAAACAAAAACTCTTGAGACAAAAGCAAAAATACCATGTAGTCAATCTAGAAAACAGGAAAACATGCACTAACTTTCAAATTTCACAATACCCGGTTTCACTTTTGAAAATAAATTGTCTTGCAACTGCTCTTGAAAACATTACTTGAATTCTTCTTGTACTTTACTGTTGGGGAT